ATTTAAGTCTGAGAATGGTTTGTGAACTCCAGGTCGGATATGGTATGGAATGAAATGGGGTTTAACGACCCACTAAATCACTAATATTGTGATCTATATAAACTAAGAGGCATTTTGTTTCATTCTTAAACTAATGTTCTACAATTTACAATGATCTAATTGTAAGTGCAGGGGGGACCGCATTACACGCAAAACAAAATCTAAAAAACAAACTTGCGGACAGGACATTGCAATAACCGCCCCCCCCCCCCCAAAAAAAAAAAAATATTTAAATAAATAAAATAAAAGACGTAACAGAAATAACATGAGTTATAACGTCCAACAACAAGGGCGATAATCCAGATAGAATCCCAGAAAATGCTAAAAAATAATAAAGTGTAGTAGGCTATGCCACAACGCCTATTGTACACTTTAATTTCTGGAACAACATTTTAACTCTTGGAACACCCACTTCACGTGTTAGAATACTCTATTTTACACATTATTTTTTTAAATATTTTATTTTATACACAGTGTTTAATACACTATCGTACACATATAATTTTACGATAAATTTCTATTGAACATTTCAAGTTTTGCAATGTTCTTATCTGCCTTTTACAATGTTCTATTTTAGGACAAAAGTTCAGTTTTGACAATGCTCTATTTCACTTTTTTTTTGTTTATTAAAATCAGTATTTTACATTATTCTATTTTACAAATTAGGATTTTACAATGTTCAATTTTATAAATTATGATTTTACAATGTTCTGTTTTACAAAATTAATTATGATTTGACCATGTTCAATTTTACAAATTATGATTTGACCATGTTCAATTTTACAAATTACGATATTGAACATGTTCAATTTTACAAATTATGATTTGGCCATGTTCAATTTTACAAATTAAGATTTCTCAATGTTCAATTTAACAAATTATGATTTGGCCATGTTCAATTTTACAAATTAGGATTTTACTATGTTCAGTAATTTAACGTGTTAAGGTTTACAATGTTCTATTTTACATTCAAGTCGTACAATGTATTATATGCTTTCATCTCTAATATATGACTAACACTTGATTAGCCTCGGGTAATTTATCTCTGTTACAGACCCTTTGTTAATACAAAACACGATCCATTCTACTTCTAATTCCATTTCCGGTAGAAGCGGAAGTGAGATCTAATGGCGACTAATCAAGTATTATTGACAAGTTTGGTCGATTTATGGTTTTATCTGCTTTGTTAATTATCACGGCTTTTAATCAGTTAGTTTCTGTCAGGCGACTAATATAAATATCAATACTCATTGTTCCCGACTAGACGTACAGATAACCATCTTGACAACCGAGTCTATCAACTTCCGGTGATAGACTGTTGTGAGATCTATTAGTTAATCGTGTTTTATGGTTGATATATCGGTATCATTGATGTATTTCGTAGTTTATTATATTATAATGTCGTTTGTTTCAAAACAAATCCATTATGTTTCATACTTGCTGTGTAAGTACATTAGCACGGTATTATGTTACTGCCAATTCTAGTTACACTGTCACCACATCACATTCTCTCTGAGTTCGGTGGCAGCGAACATAATGTAACATTAGCTACCGTTCGTCTTCGTGAACATTGTACTTATTACATAACCTGCTCTAAGTTGAGTAGCTGCGAACTTAGTGTAACGTAAGTTACAGCGAACAATGCTTTTATTACGTCATCACATGTCCTGTTCAGTAATTCAATAATTTCAATAATTCGCTTGCACGTAAGGTTCAATTATATTTCAATAATTCGCTTGCACGTAAGGGTTTTGGCTGTGGGAGGAAATCGGAGGACCCGAAGAAAACCAACGATTTTGGACAGGCGAACCTATGCCATGCCACGTACAACCGGGGAATAGAAACCACGCCAGTTAACTCAATGACAGACCTTATGATACAACGCGCACGGGCTACACGGGCTAACCATTCGGCCATCACGTACAACCGGGGAATCGAATTCATACCAGTTGACTCAATGACAGACCTTATGATACAGCGTGCACGCGCTAACAATTCGGCCACTCAACACCCTCAGAAACGTAGGCCGTTGAACAATATTTCATTTCATTTTAAATCACGTGACTGATGATATTACTGTTGGTTTGTTTAGATAAAGATTATATTTGTATTGATATTGGTCTAGTGTTTATTTCATTATCTGATCATGTTGCTCAGAGTTAATATAAATATACTCTAGCTGATCTGGGCGGAAATGAACGGGCATAACAAACAAACAGCGTCTAAAATGTCACTTCCTGTCAATATGGTGGTCAATTAGTCAGATATCTCAAATAACATCCAGTCCTCAAATAACATCCAGTCCTCTTGTCTCAGTGAGCTACACGTCTCGAGTTAACTGTAGACTGGTTCAGGTGGTCGAATTGTTTAACGCCTGCGCTTTAGACCATACGATCTGTCATTGAGTCAACTGTCGTGGTTTGGATTCCCCACTTGTACGTGACAAAGAGTATGATCGCCTGTCGAACCTCGTTGGTTTTCTCCGAGTCCTCCGGTATCCTCCCACTGCTAACGACACGTACACGCTAGTGAATTTTTTAAAAATAAAATTGAATTGTATGTTAGTCCCGAGATGACCTAGTTTGTGTCAAGAGGACGTTAAACCCCATTTTAATTTTTCGCTCTCTTTAATATCATGTTCCAAATGATGAATGTACAATATTATCAGGGTTAAATATGAAAATGTCTATTTGATTACGTTTGGTGTTTCAATGGAATCATTGAACGCAGGCATATACGATTAAATATTCTAAGATGGACACGACACACTGATAACTGGTTAAATCTGTTACCACACTGGAGCCCCCAATAGTCAAACAATCAAGATATTTGAGACATTGGCCATCCTGTCCCATGGTCAAGCCGTGCGGCTTTTGAATTTAAAGCCCTGTTCCCACTAGATGGGACACAAAACGAGATTTACCCGTGTAAATCTTGGGGGTACGTAAAAGTACCCTTGACAGTTGGAACTAGTTGTTGGGTAGATGGAATCATTACTGCCTGGGCAAGATTCTACTTCTGAAAACAAATAATCGCACGTTGTTTGTAAAAGACGGTAGTATTGTGTTGACGAGGTATTTAACATCAGTCTATTATTGTAAACAATATTAGGACATTAAAAGGGAGACAATCGCGTGCGAATGCGAACCTTTCGCTATTCTATAGAATTCAGTACTTGATTTCTTTTATTATTATTGGATATTAACATTGTGACTAATTTACGGTCTTCATTCGCCGTGTTTAATGGGAGTTTACGAGTCTGGAGAACTAGTAATTGATTTGGCGCGAAAAGCTATTATTTGTTGGGAGTCGGCTATCTTGAAACGAGTCGTATATCGTTGTTAAACCGTCGTCTTTATTAGAGTAGTGTGATCTTAATACACAACCTTTAGAATCGTAGTATATAAATTAATAAAGGTTTGTCAGTTCAATTGTCGGTTTGTCGCAAGTATTAAATAACATAATTACCCCCCTTTTTCTTATAACCTAAAATGATTGGAATATAGAATATTATATTCACCTTATTGTAGAATAAATGACAGAATAAATTGTTTCAATGGCCTTTAGTAATTGAACTGGCGTATTGTAGTAGGGTGAATTTCGACTCAATAGTAAATGTTTAATAATAATAATAAAAACTTTATTTAAAGATACATTATGGGAGATAAGATAAAGAGATAGTAGTCCTCGCTATAATAGTTAAATACTAGATAGTGTAAAGGTAATTTGCTGAAAATTTCAGTCAAATTGATCCACCATGAGCCGAGAAAGAAGCGGGTGAAATTTTTGCATAGTCTCGGTCATCATTACTAAAATCATTAATATAAACAGCATAGTCTCGATTATCCACTTTTTCTGATTTAATAATCCAGCCAACATCGAAGGCTAGCCTTGACATCGAGAGTTTATTATGGTCTGGATAAGTTAATTAATGTCTAATTGATAATTTAGATAACATTTCAGGCCTAAAGAAAGACTTGTAATAAGCAGATTTTGTTCTTGCATAATGCATGTTTAATGAGGCAACTTAATTAACATTGTGCTAATCCACACATATTACTATATTTTAATGGATCTTAATCCGCCTTAATTGCCTCCCACTGCTAATTACCCCCTACGCGCAAGCGAATTAATGCAATAAAATTACACCGTATGTTAGTCCCGAAATGACCTAGTTTATGTTGAATAAACGTTAAACCCCATTCCCCCGCCCCCACCAAAAAAATACATTTTATATGTTTGTTATTTTTGTTCTTTGAGCCGACATATCCTTTGGCACAGTTTGATTTTTGATATGTTATATTCCAAGATGGCGTCTGGTTTAGATTGATATTGTTAGTGTATAACCCCCATGAAAGATAGGTTATATTGTTTATGTTTTCAGTGCTTTGTCATGGTATAACAGCCGTGAGACATAGGTTATATTGTTTATGTTTTCAGTACCTTGTCAATGGTTTAACACCCGTGAAATATAGGTTATATTGTGTTATATTGTTTATAATTAATGTTATATTGTTTATGTTTTCAGTGCCTTGTCATGGTTTAACAGCCGTGAAGTATATGGTAAACTACTGTAAATCTACTGTACCGTTACATGTTAATGGTAGTGTGATATTAGAATTAACAGATAAACCAGTAGAGAATAGATACGATGTGGGATATCTTCATTGTGCAGTTAAAATAGTCACTGATCCCAGTTCTAATATATACCTACATTTTCTTACATTAGATATATCACATCATATTGAAACACCAGATAGGTTAGTATGTTGTATTATTCCCTGGTTACATTAGATATATCAGATCATATTGAAACACCAGATAGGTTAGTATGTTGTATTATTCCCTGGTTACATTAGATATATCAGATCATATTGAAACACCATATAGGTTAGTATGTTGTATTATTCCCTGGTTACATTAGATATATCAGATCATATTGAAACACCATATAGGTTAGTATGTTGTATTATTCCCTGGTTACATTAGATATATCAGATCATATTGAAACACCAGATAGGTTAGTATGTTCTATTATTCCCTGGTTACATTAGATATATCAGATCATATTGAAACACCAATAGGTTAGTATACTGTATTATTGATACCCCGGTTGTACGTGACAAGGGGTAGGTTCGCCTGTTTAACCTCATGGGACCTCTCCGGGTCCTCCGGTTTCCTCCCACTGCTAAAGACTCCCACGCGCAAACGAATTATTGAAATCAAATTGAAGCATGTGTTAGTTCCGAAATGAACTAGTTGACCCAATGTTGTATTATTCCGTGGCTTTCGATTCCCCGGTTGTGAAATGAAATGAAATGGGGTTTAACGTCCTACTGTTTTGCTCCGAACTGGGCTAATGACGACGGGTGATTCCCCGGTTGTACGTGAAGTGTTTTTACTCCCGGGTCCTGAGAAACCTCGAAACGCCACTGGTCCACTATGCTATTTCTTTTAACACGTTGCCAAAAATGTTCTGCATTTGATTCCCCGGTTGTATTTGACAAGGAGTAGGGTCGTCTGTTCATCCTCGTGGGTTTTCCCCGCCCCCCCCCCCACGGTTTCCTCCCACTGCTAAAGACCCCTACGCCCAAACGAATAAATGAAATAAAATTGAACCATATGTTAGTCCCAAAATGATCTAGTTTGTGTCTTGTGGACGTTAAACTCTCTCTCTCTGGTACGTGACAAGGAGTAGGTCACATGTCCAACCTCGTGGGTTTTATTCGGTCCTGCCCCCCACCCCTTGCTAAAGACCCCTTATGTTAGTCCCGAGATGCCTATGAGTGTCGAGTAGTCGATAAACTCTCTCTCTCTCTCTCTCTCTCTCTCTCCCTCTCTCTCTCCCCCTCTCCCTCTCTCTCTCTCTCTCTCTCCTATTATTTCTATAATTAAGATAGGTGTCCGATGTGGTATCTCTCGCCCATTGGGGGGAGCCGGAGAACCCGGACCACCCGGAGAAAAATTGGATGGTTGCACAGGCAGCGTACTTCTCGTCAGATACACGAATCGAAATCGCAGCACTTGAATCAAAGAAAGGCATGCGTTAGACCCAGGGGCGGTGCTATCATTAGGCCAATGAGGGCGTCGCAGATCTCAGAGAGGTACAGTTTTATGCATATAGATCCATTTGTGTGCTATGAGGGAAATTTTGACCGGGCAGCGGTACTATGGCCTACTCTTATATCAAATTCCAACTGTCAAGGGATGTTTTACGTGTACGCAAATGTATACACGGGACTTCGGCTTTTCGTCCCATCCGAACGACTAATGGGTTTTAGGTCTACATCATGCATTGTATGAATCAAAACTAGTTTTCTTTAATATTATATGTTCATCCCTCTACAAACTGAGGGGTTGGGTGGAGGAGAGTGCGTGCCACCAGTTCTTGTTAGACCATGCGCTACCCGAATATTGATATGATGCTGCCAGGGTGGCCGCCATATGGTTATGTGATGCGACCATCATACTATCAAGGTGGCCGCCATATTGTTTGAATAATTGTGACCATCATACTATCAAGGTGGCCGCCATATTGTTTGAATAATTGTGACCATCATACTATCATGGTGGTGGCCATATTATTTGAATGATTGTGACCATCATACTATCATGGTGGTGGCCATATTATTTGAATGATTGTGACCATCATACTATCATGGTGGTGGTCATATTATTTGAATGATTGCTATGGCCATATTTGCATGATTGTGACCATGATACCGTCATGAGGGCCGCCATGTTATATAAATGATAGCCGCCATGATACATGGTTGTCTCCATGACAATGTTTAGGATTTATCGTCGTACTGTAGTAAACTGTGTTTAATTGTTGACATTCTTTTAAATTATTTTTTAGGTTGCATATTTATGAGCTCAACGATGATGGGGCGAAGGTTCAACGGACACCTAGTGATGGTGTATATGGTGTGTACGAGAGGCCATACTATGCAGGAAACACGGAGGACTTGTCTATTCGGGACTATAAATCTTCCGGCAAACAATTTAGTCTCGATTATCTAGGAAAACCAACATATATGTACCAAGGATTCAAAATACTTCTAACATCAGTTAAAGGTTGGTTTTACTTGATATGTGGTATCGGGTGTTCTTGGAACATGTCGGCCTGTCGTTGGCATATAGTACGTCTACTTCCTCGAAACGGACATAGTCCAGATCAATCTGTTTAAAATACAGATCTACTGTATATTTCGTTTCGTTTTGTCTTTTTATACTTTCGATGGCCTACACTACATGGAGATCTGACCAGTTGTAGTGGAAGGTCGCGTGAGAGGTCATTCGAGTGACCTTTGACCTGTGACGTCAACCTTTTATAAGCCAATCGGCGATGTTTCTAGTGGGTTACCCACAGTTCCGTGCACCTCATGCCAAAAACTCGCGGCAACAGACCGTTTCATTGGCTGATCCCTCACAGGATACAGAACGCGAGTTATATAAAGACAAGTAAAACGAAATTTTGAACCATTAAAATCGAAAAGAAACGAAATAGGTTTTAATCAGATTGAAGCTAAATATGGGTGACCGAACAGTTTAACATGTGGGCTTAAGATCATCATAAGGTCTGTCATTGAGTCTAGTGGCGTAGTGTCGATCCCACATTTGTACGTGACAATGAATAGGTCGTCTGTCCAAATTCGTGGATGTCCTCCGGGCCCCACTGCTTCCTCCCACGGACGATGGGCAAAGTCGCTGGCTATAGACCATAAGGTCTTCGAATTGATCAAGGCATTGAACCGTCCTTTGAAGATTCGCTGATAGACATAAGGGGGACAACTCGTTTAAATCCCCGAACATTTTCAACGCAAATGATATCTTTAAGATCATAATGTATGTGCCTGTTTTGAGAACTGCATTGTCTGACGATTAATCATTTTACCCCGTCAAACTAGCACTATAGTGATACTGGATAGCTCGTTTCTGACAGAATCAGTCGTTCATGAACGAAACTTGACGAAACTGGCTGGAAACCATCAGGTTGTTCTATAGAGAGAGTCGAACTTATTTCTTAATTAAATGCTTTAAAAAGTGTTACCATAACCAACCTTATTACCAGACCGGCAGTATACGGTTAGCAACGAAAAATGGTACCCATAGTAATATATCGAATGATAATAGTAAGTGAAGGAGGACCGCACAACACACACAATAAACATAAGACAAACCCGCGGACACGTAACACAAACTACCCAGACATCGACATAACACAAATGTCAAATCAAATGAATGGATCCCCTGGCCAGGCGTGAACGTCCCTATATAGGTCTGTGATCAAATATGTATAATTATTATTATTTTTTTAATTTAACAGATAGTCATAATGGCGGTTGTAAAACGGGATATTTTTGGTGTTCCAAACAGTTAATTTGTATCCCGGGTGAATTGAGATGTGATGGGAATCCTAACTGTGGTTTATATGATAACACAGATGAAGATGGATGTGCTGAACTTGATGAAACTGTAACATCTTTACTAAATGACTGTAGGTTCATATAATATTATTTTGAGTGAATATAGGTTCATATAACATTATTTTGAAGAAACTGTAACGTCTTTTCTAAGTGACAATAGATCCGTGTAACGTTATTTTGAGTGAATATAGATTCATATAACGTTATTTTGGGTGAATATAAGTTCATATAATGTTATTTTTGGTGAATATAGGTTCATATTACGTTATTTATGGTGAATATAAGTTCATATTATGTTATTTTTTGTGAATATAAGTTCATGTTACGTTATTTTGAGTCAGTGTACATTCATATAACGTTATTTTGAAGAAACTGTACCGCCTTTATTAAACTACTGTAGGTTCATATAACATTATTTTGATAAACGTGTAACGTCTTTACTAAATGACTGTAGCTTCATATAACATTCTTTCGATGATAATGTAACATTTTTACATAAACACGTAATAATTTTAAATGGAATCTTTGAGCTGTGGTCCTGTTTATATCCCCGTATAACAAAGTTTATTGGATTTTTTTTGTTTGTAGATTCAATAGCTCATGCTGTCATTGCTGCTGTCGTGGCTGTACTCGTGTTTCTAATTTGTGTGGCTCTGATTGGCCTATTTGTTACCAAATATAACAGGAAAAGGTGAGCTAGTTTCATTATTTCTATATACGCTCTGATCTATATCCAAGATGTATTATGTTTATATACGCTCTGGCTCCAAGTGCACAAAGCATTCTCAGACTGAAGTTAATAATTTACTCAACTTTCAATCACTGTTTATGAGAAATAGCCTTGATCCAGAAACACAAAACTTTGCACATTGTTTCTTATTCGTGTATTTGATACATTAAAACAACAAAAGTTTTATAAAGGTCTATATTTTAGTTAAAATTTTGAGTAAAGTCTTAATTAAAGATGAAGTATGTCTATATCCGCTCTAAGCTATGTTAAAGGTGTCTTGTTTTTATATACGTGCTGATGTATTTTAAAAATGCATTATGTTTTTATATACGTTCTGATCAATATAAAAGATGCACTGTATGGTCGTGTTTGCTATAATACATGTTGTTCAACAAGGTTCAGCAAGTTGGTGACCACAATCCAGTATGTGTGATTCAGACATAGAGCTGGTCGTTCTTACTATAATAGCTCAATGAATGCATGTGAATAAATGCTTAATTATTTATATAACATTTGGTGCCAGACAAAAAAAAGTGCAAATGACAGATTTTGCTCTTACGTAATGCGTCTTTAGAGAGAAAATAGGTGAATTAGCCTAACACGTGGTCTCATGTGGCGTAGTTTCAAAGAGAGAGAGAAATGGGGTTTAACGTCCACTCGACACAAACCAGGTCATTTCGGGACTAAAATATGGTTCAATTTTATTTTAACAATCCGCTTGCGCGTAGGGGTCTTTTGTAGTGGGAAGAAACCGGAGGACCCGGAGAAACCCCACGAAACTGGACAAACATCCCTACTCCCTACAACCAGGGAATCGAAACCACGCCACTAAACTCGATGACAGACCTTATGCTACAAAGGGCACGCGCTAACCATTCGGCAGCCGAATACAAAATGGGTTTTGTCTCTAAAATGTCTCAAATCAAATTAGAGTTTAATAAATGGGACTTACATATAATAAGGGTCTTTAGTATTGGGAAAACAGAAGACCCAGAGAAAACCCACGAGGTTCGGCAGGCGGCCCTATTCCTTGTCACGTACAAGTAGAGGATCAAATCAAATGGGTTTACCCAATTTGAACTATGTATAGTATACGTTTCTTTTCCATTTTTAAAATTTTATTAATTTATACAATGGTCGTATTTTACAGATATCCATTAACTAAAGTTCGTGCCTTATTAAGTCGTGGTGTTTGTAGTGTTACAACCAACCTAGATATGGAACGACTGTATGCACCACCTTCTTACGAGCACGTGATGGCGGGAACTAGCAGTGGTGGTATGGAACCACCACCGGAATATAGCGAATTCGTTCGTACATCGCATCATCGTAATGAGTACTTGACGGATAGCGAGGACGACGATTTTCCCGATAATTCTCATAATGAGTTTATTGATATTCATCGAAAACCAGCACCTCAACGAACAATCAGCCATACTTCCGTACATAAAGCCATGTGTCACAGTCATCCTGGTTCTATTGAAGATCCATTACCCAGCACTTCGTCCACTTCCGCCGACACTCGTCCGAATAGTGCGTCATCTAACGGAAGTCATTCCTCCAGCTCGGGATTACGTCATAATGGCGAAGATATCGATTCTGAAGGAGACGTGAAGAGTGGAGATTCAGGTATTGAAAATAGTCGCGAGAGAATCTCAAAGAGACCACAGAAGATCAGAGAGGAATCTGAGAGCGAGAATATCATCAGCTCGGGTTAAAATCAAGTGCCGACAGTATATGCCACCATTGTGTTATTGTTACCATGCCAACAGCCTTGTGATAAAAACAGCATTATCCCCATTAAATGCCTTTAATGTAATTATCTCTATAGTAACATAATTACATTTTAATATAATTATGTTTGTGAGAAATGTTACCAAAAGTCTACAAATATTTTATAATCTTAGTTTACAATCCGATTACCATTTTGTTTCGTGTATTTGTTTGCTTTGCGTGCTTTTTTACACTACGTCATAATCAGACCAATATTCTATCACCACGTTGTTCTGCCCAATGAGATTTCAGTTCATATCAGCCAATTATCATCAAACCAGAAAAGACAGTTTTGATTGGCTTGTAAAAACCACGTGTTCAGAACACAGGAATTAACACTCAGCAGATTCCTGTACCCTACATCTAGCCTTGGGACTACTTGCACATGACGACGCCTTTAAAGAATGTTTTATCATACAAATATTTCAAAGTCTGAAGCTGTTTATCCGATTTTCTTCTAACAAGGACAACTTTGCACTGAAAATTCTACACACTCTGCGAAAGACGCAATTTTGAGAACTTGGTTTTAGAAGCGACAAATTTTCCTAATAGGCGTAGGTATATATCACTTACCGTCATACAGCCGAGGCTACATGTAGGTATCGGAATCTGCCGAGGTTTGCCGAGTGAGGAATTAAATGATAATACGTCAGATGTATATATGAAAATATAAAACGAAACGAAATAAGCTCTTGAATTGAATCACGTTAGAGATTAGTGGGATCAATTTGTTTGTGTTTGTGTGTGTGTGTATTATACTTTAACGTTTGTCCTGTATTCATACTTCCACCTTTGGTATTCAAGTATGTCAGCAACAATATAAAATGAGAAATCGATGCGAATGTGAATTACACAGACCCAATATTAGAAAGTCTTCTAATATCTCTGTAAAAGATGATTGCCTTCAACACATGACGTCATATCATGCTTCAAACGTCTTTTTTTTTACTTTTCTAATACATAAAAAAAATGTTTTAGAATTTAATTTTTCGGAGGATAAAAAGTAAATATTTGGGGATCATTACGTCGCATCGATGTCATCCTTATCAGTGACTGTAGCGGCGTTGCGAATATTCATTGCTGATCAGACCCCCAGCATTAAAGAAAACTTGTTTTGACTTAAAGTTATCGATTTATTTACCTTATGTGCTTACATAGCTTTCTTAAGCTAAAATGACACCATATCATTTAAATATGTTTTGACAAAAACGGGGGGCCTGATAAGGATAGCTGTCTAGACGTTCGAATGGGACGAAAACCCGAGGTCCCATGTATAGATTGGCATGCACGTAAAAGATCCCTTGACAGTTGGAATTCGATACAAGTGTCGACCATAGAGCCGCCACCCGGGCAAAATTTTCCTCGTAGCACACTGTATGGCATATGCCCGTCTTCATTAGCCCAGTCGAGTCAGAACAGTAGGACGTTAAACCCCATTTCATTTCATTTCATTTCGTTGCCATGCTACTGGTTGCCATTACATAGTAGTTACTGTCATTAAACATTGACGTAAAAGAGATGAAAATATAAGTATAGACCGCGGAGAAATCCACGTGAGTCAAAATTTTCGTATATTCCATTTTTATGTTTTATTAGGAATTTCACGGGTGAACTCCTTTCATTTTAGTTAAATTATTTAGAATCGTTTCGGAACGTTCAACTCTCTGCCTTTCTGTGTTTCCCGGTTGAATATGTGACTTACCTCCCTTGACTCAGATTTCAGTGACCCGCGTGTTGTTAAGCAATGTCCATCGATTGATATTAAGTTATGTTATCGACCATTAAGCCTAACTATTTGTATTCTACTTGTCCTATGTTTTATATCGAATTCCTACTGCCAAGGATTCTTTTACGTGCACTTCAATGCGTACACGGGATCTCGGTTTTACGTCCCATCCGAACGACTAAAGTTTTAAGTCTTGCCACCCAATCGGGAGGCACTCCTTAAGTAAATGTGTGCCATTTGTTAATACGTTAAATGTTATGCATTTAATGAAGAAAATAAAATTATTTATAATTATTAGTGTCATTTTACTAGTTTAGCGTCCGCTTACCGAATTAACTAAGATAAATAAAAATTATCAAAAAATGGCTACATCCCATTAATGTCTCTATGCGTCATTTTCATTTTCCGAAAAAAATCATATTAACACGACTTAAGTCAAGTTAAAATCTTACACAAATTGATTATTTAGAAAACAAAATCAATAAATCAACGGCAGATGGTTTAGCGGCTTGATTCAATCGTATTAAATATTCATGTATACCTATGAACATTTTACAAAGATTAGAGGTGGTGCTAGCTGTTTACATCGTTTGTTGAATGTTTAATTAGTTCTATCTTTGTGGTACTGGTTTAATGGGAGGGAGAGAGAGAGAGAGAGGGAGAGAGAGAGAGAGGGGGGGGGGTTAACGTCCACTCGACACAAACTTAGTCATTTCTTGACTAACATACGGTTCAATTTTATTTCAATAATTTGCATGTGCGTAGGGGTCTTCAGCAATGGGAGGAAACCGGAGGAGCCTGAGAAAACCCACAAGGTTGGATAGGCGACCTTACGCGTTGTCAGGTACAACCGTGGAATCGAAACCGCGCCAGTTGACTCGATGATAGACCTTATGATGCAGCACGCACGCGCTAACCATTCGGCCATCCAACCCCGCTCCGAGACGTTAAGTATTTTTTGGATACTGTTCAAGGACGCCAGCCCGAGTGTTAAATCAGTATATTACGCCATGTCTTGCACAAAACCATTAAAATATAAACAACCTAAAATAAAGACACCTTACCACACGTGACGCCACATCTGTATTTTAATTGTGAATATTTTAAGAAATACTGCAACTTCATTCGATATATGCAAATTGATTTTACTGGTCAGCCAATCGAATTGCAGTATTTCTTAAAATTTCGATTTTATCTTAGGTTAAGTTTTCGTGAATGAGGGCCCTGGTCGATATGTAACCCTTATTGAACTGATGTTTCTTTTCGTAGATTGTAACGCATTTTTCAAAATGTTGATCAATCTAGTTGTTTGGTTTTTAATTGACATTATTTTGAATCAAAATAGTGTTCCGGTGTATCTTTCATAATACCTTTGCTTAATTATTACAATGCTTATGATATATATTGTATAAACTCTGATTTGTTTGAACTTGTGTTCATTATTGTGTTATATATTTATAAGTTTTATATTGATATCATCTTTTAGTTCATATCGTTTTTATACTAACATCATATACTATGAATTTTAATAAAAGAATTAGCCAAGCTATATTAACATCTGTATATTATATTGTGTTTTACCACTTACACAGGACATCCCTGGTCGGGGTTTCAATATGACATATTCGTGACAGGGGCGTTTCCCGGAATTTGAGCAGGGCGGTGTGTGTTGGGGTCCAAGATGGAGACGTCTCAGAATCCTTGAGACAATATTTCTACTAATTTAGGTGCATACAAGATTACAGTGGCGTAAGATAAAAACGGCGATATCTACATGAAAGACCCTGCGCAACCAGTGTAAAATTCGGCAAGATGTCCGATCCCAGTTTTGTTGATCTCGTCGAAATTTCTTGGCATCAAAAAACAAACTATTGTTACAAGATCATGTAAGTGAGCGAAAACATCACTGAAGTATTTGAAGTGATTATTTATTTCGTGTGGTTCTTCATCGGCGCCTTATGACAGACCTTGTGATGTCAAGCGCACGCGTTAACCACTAGACCATCCAACACCTCTAGGAGTCGGAAACTGACATGCGCAGTCATTGTTTTTTTAGTTAATAGGATCAGCAGTGTGAATCTGTGGCCTCGATACTATTTAACTTGATCCGATGTTGCTTTGTTCAAGGGGGCACATGGGTTGACGAGTACACGCCATTTCTGACGCGTGTGCCGGATCACGAAAATCAGAGAAAGGGCTCCGTGGTGATGCGTTTCATCGTGGGCTCATATAGATAAGCATAAGGGCCCCACAAAGATTGACGAGTAGACCCCTACGCCCACGCGTGGTATGGGTCCCATTACTAATACGTCGGGGTCATCTAGCATTAATAAAGGGTCCGTCATAGATCGACGAGACATGGGTCCCTATGGCATACAAGTAGGCCCAATTACATTAATGTGGGCCCCCTTCTCCACCTCGTGGGTTTACTCCGCCCCCCCCCCCACACACACACAGCAAAGACCCCTGCACGTGCGCTAATAAGAAAATGAAAATAAGACAACTTGTCTGCGATATCACCCTCGGTGGAAGCGGACGATAAACGCTAAGAACAAAAACATGACTTCGATTAAAAATAAAGATTTAAAGACGTGTCATTGCCAATAATCGATCAAATTAAAGCGATGATCCTGGTTCTGTTGTGCAGTTTCAATAAACACATGTTCCCGGGTTCAGTACTGGTATCGATCCAGTCTGGCTTATCATTTGTCAGTAAGACGGGGTGTGGTGGGGTGGGGGGGGGGGGTCTGGCAAGTTGTTCAGGGTGTAGGGCCAGCCGTTGGCGTGCACGTGCAAAAAGCCCTGACACTGGGAATACGACGATAATTGCGGTTCTACGAACAATTACCGAGAGCGCGACATTATTATATATGTTGCACAAGGGCTCTGTTTCTTGAAATCTTAACTAGAGATAACATCCCAATTTCAGTAGATACTTCAATTTTGATTGGCTAAGCACTAAAATCAATTCAATATTATCCAATCAAGTTACTAAAATTTGGCTTTTATTTTAGTTAAAAGTTCGTGAAACAGGCCCCTGGGCGTCTTTTAAAGTGATATTAAATACCGTTACTATAGCGATCTCTATAATAATAGAATAAGAACCATGCTGGATGAAGACGGGGCCCTATGGACCCTGTCCCCTCCCCCTAAATAAGATTATAAAGTCCAGATAAGCAACAAAATTACCATTGACACTTACCCCTTAAACAAACATTATGCAAGAGCTAAATCTGCCTATTGCAGGTCTTTTTTAGACCAGGCCCGAAATGTTATCTAATTAGACATTCGAAAACTTATCCAGACCATAATCAACTCTCGATGGCATCGCTAGCCTGCGATATTTACAGGATTAGAACCCGGTCTACCGCTTCTGATTAAATCAAAAACGTGGATAATCGAGACTATGTTTTTTTTTATCGTACCTAATTTATTAATGATGATCGAGCTAGGCCAAAAATTCAATTGCTAAATACTCGGTTCAGGATAGATCAATTTAATTGAAAATTTCCGCAAATATCTACATGTAGTTGTTAACTATTATAGTGAAAACAACCAGTTTTTTTTCTAATTTCCCATAATGTATCTTTAACTAAATATTCAGCTACCGTCATTGAACCAGGAGAATATATAAGTAAGGTACCTCACACTGCATTGATTGATCTTGTTGTGTGCTTCAAATAAAAATCACTTTTTCAATTTCACAATGATGTTGCTAAGCAACTACATGTATAAGGTTTACGTTGCGTTAATTTTTAATTTGATATTTCTGAGAGAAGATAGTTTCAGGTTGATCTTATTGAACTTTATGAAGAATAACAGAACAGAATACTAAATCATTAACAAATATCAATTTAAGGCGAGGGTGCATCCCGCCCGCCAACAGAACTATATCGTTTCACTGTACTTTAATATGAGTGTGTCCATGGTTTATCGTTTAGCTATACTTTCACATCAGTGTGTCCATGGTTTATCGTTTCACTGTACCTTAACATTAGTGTGTCCAGTTTATCGTTTAGCTGTACTTTAACATCAGTGTGCCCATGGTTTATCGTTTCACTGTACTTTAACATCAGTGTGCCCATGGTTTATCGTTTCACTGTACCTTAACATCAGTGTGTCCAGTTTATCGTTTAGCTGTACTTTAATATCAGTGTCCAGTTTATCGTTTCGCTGTACTTTAATATCAGTGTGTCCAGTTTATCGTTCCGCTGTACTTTAACATCAGTGTGCCCATGGTTTATCGTTTCACTGTACCTTAACATCAGTGTGCCCATGGTTTATCGTTTCACTGTACTTTAACATCAGTGTGCCCATGGTTTATCGTTTCACTGTACTTTAACATCAGTGTGCCCATGGTTTATCGTTCCGCTGTACCTCAACATCAGTGTGTCCAGTTTATCGTTTAGCTATACTTTCACATCGGTGTGTCCAGTTTAATTTTTACGATTTTCTGTCTAGACGTATTAAGCGTATATTGTATTTAATATCTATCGCATCACTGATAGACGGGATTATCATTGCGTACGAATATTGTATTGGATCACGGTACTTGTAGACGGGATTATCCTTACATACAATTATTGTATTGGATCACGCAGGGATTATCACTACATACGAATATGATATTGGATATAATATTACATCACAGGTAGACGGGATTATCATTGCAGACGAATAGTGTATTGAATTTTTATCACATGACAGGTAGACGGGATTATCACTGCAGACGAATAGTGTATTGAATTTTTATCACGTCACAGGTAGACTAGATTAACACTGCAGACGAATAGTGTATTGAATTTATATTACACAGCAAGCAAGACGGGACTGTCTGTGACATCACTTGTTTGTGAGCTAAATAGAGGTATAAATTCAGACTTGAAAACGCGGTGAAGTGGCAAATACCATTTGTGTTGTACATGCGCACTGAAGAAGAGCTATATTCATCGACGATTTAAATTGTTTGCAATAACATTATATTGTCAATGCGGACGTTACATTGAACAACAATTCAGAATATATATGTGTTACATTCATGGAACAGATTTTATACATTTCGGAATTCATGTTGTGTAACAAATTGAGCCTTTAAGTTCAGAATGTATTGGATAAGATGTTTAAGGGATACGGGGGTAATAGTGGCATACGTATCTGTTATAATATGTCACGAAACATGTACACATTTACAATATCCACAGCTTCAGCAGGGTGAAAAGATAACTAATGAATCATATCTGGTTCTGGGTGATCTTTATATTCTTCAGTGCGTTAAAACTTGTTTTTCGAGCTCAGTATGTCAGGCGTTTGATTATAACATACGCAATGGGACATGTTCCTTATATCGTAGACGGAGTGGTGATTACGATACGGAAGAGAATTTAAATTACGTGATCGCTGATGTAGCAGATTGGCCGGGTAGCTTGGCCGGAAGTTGCGTGTATCACACCTGTCCCGCCAATGCTTTATGTTCTGCTATTAGTTCCGGTGGATATGTATGTAAAATTGTCGGATGTTTGGGTACTGGAAACCAAATCAACACCATATCCGAAGATCAACCCCTATTCCAAGTGGGATACGAACTAGAAGATGTCTGCAGTGAAGGTTATTATGCCAATACGACTGTTTTTTGTCAACACGATGGTAACTGGACGGCGTTTACATGTTTAAGATTGCCTAGCGATTGTGCTGAATTACAACACTGTAACACGTCTTACAGGGATGGCGAATATTGGTTGTATCGTTCTGACCAAAACACTATGAAAAGAATGAAGATTTTCTGCTATAACATGACCACACCAGATCCCAAGGAATACATCACATTGCCACATCTTAATGTGGCTTCTAGATCTTTATATGTTTATTCTGATTACTCAACGTGCACCACAGTCCTTGCTGATTCTAAAACCATAGCTGACAATAAGCTTGGAGACACTCAGTACCTAAAAGTGAGACTTCGCACATCTCTATTGCGAATCCGACGAGGCATTGTGACATTTGCCAATTATACTTACAGGACGTATTACGGATCTGCAGGAGATGCAAATAAATCGGTTAATACCACCTGTCCATCCCTTGGAAACTTTCGCATTGATCTACGGAATACGAGCTTCACCGTCAATCGCATCACGGAATGGATGCCCAACGAAAGTCCATGGTCCGTTATAGATAACATCACATTTTCCGATAACAATCAAATCGTTGATGGTCGATGTGGAGGTGTTGCTGTACCCAACCAGAACGGAGGGTGTAGAAGTAAAAATATTATCCTCGAGATCAACGACCAATACCAACTTGACCTAAACTCTGCCGTGATCCCACAGTGTGTCATGAATTGAATATATGGGCGATATGCACGATGCAGTGCATGCCCCTGTTTAAGGAAAACCATGTGGCCGACCTTACTGGATATTGTCATATGACAGGTACTCAATACCCTTTAGGATTAGTGTACCTATTTTCGGTACACCAAACTATGCTCATCAGATATATTCGCTCTGTAAAACAACACATACGTCTATTCTTATCCAGTGGCGGACTGGCCAGGTTGTCAGCTTGCCC